TCTCTGAGCTTTTTCTTATGCTTTATGGCTTTTTACAACAACTGATATTGGTATTTATTGACATATTTTTAATTTGTGATTTAGCTCAACCAAAGTTGTGTATTTATGAGTCAAATATATGTATATTGTTTTTGAATTTGTACTAATTTGGTAAGTTTGATGATCTGAAAAAGATTTTTTTTCAAGTTATGCTAACACTAAAAACATTGAGTTATTTACCTCCGTGAATAAATTCTAATAAATTAACAGAAATGTGAACTGGTTCCCTCCATGTTTGTACGATTAAAAAGTGAACAGGTCTGCTGGGAGTGTCCTCCCAAGGCCTCATTATTTGAGATCTTAACTGTTGTCAAATGCTGTCCACGGACTATGAAGCAATAAATTCAAAAGAATGTAATTAGATTTCAAGGTAAAACTGACACTGGATCAAAATACCTTTGTGCTATTTTTCAATGTGCTGGAGACAGTTTTATGTCAGCATAATGTTATTTGAGCAACACAGCAACTGCATCTGTAAGGAACACGAAAACATTTCACAAGCTCGTGTCTAAACCAGCGGCAGGAGGACGTTGGTGTTGATTTTTGTTTAAAACCTTTTTAGTAGTTCAGCTTTATTTTCGTGGTTGCAAATATTTGCTCCTTATTTTGTTTAATTTGATCCTACAGCATGATAACATGTWTAACTTACATAGAGAGTTAAAATTCCTAATTTTAGTGCTGACCAGTAGAGTTGGTTTTATGTTTATAAATTTATATTTGAAGAGACCAAGCTTTGTCTGCAGTAATGAGGGCTTTGCTCGACGTGGTAATAAAGGAGCTGAGAGACAAAATTATCCATTCACTGGTCCATATGTGTTCCAACGCTCACCCACTAGATCTGGACCGTGAATTGAACAATAAGATCTGGATTACAGGCATCTGAAATTAGTTGCCCAGCGTCAGACGTAAAGGTCTGTCTCTTTTTTCTCTTCACTAATAAAAAATAAAAATAAAAATCATAATGGTGTGGAGAGGATGGCTATAAGGGGAGAAGGGAGGCCATCCAAAAAAAGACGTAAAGGTAGGATAGGGAACTCCATCATCATCATCATCATCATCATCATCATCATCATCATCATCATCATCATCATCATCATCATCATCATCAATTACAAAATATTTTTCAAAATTCCCCAGCACAGATCGAATAATAAATCAAACACAAATTTTAAAGATGCTGTTTTAATTGACTAAAACTGCAATGCCATTGAGGAGAACTGCCATACAAATAAAAAGGATCTTTCAATCAAACAAAATTATTTGCAAACGGACACAAAGGGGACTTTAATGAGTTTTTTTAATTATTTCTTTTAATTTTTTTTTCAAGAGGACATGATGACGCCATCTAGCGGTTGTTTTCACCTTTCATCTCTTCTGATCAAACCCTGGGGTGGGGGGTGGGGGTGTCCAGGTGAGGGATATGAGACAAAGGAGCATCATCTTTGCCCCCCTCAACGCCTCAAACAGCGACCTCCTGATTTCCATTTAAAAAGGCGGTGTAACTCAAGCCACTAAACGGATGGAAACCTGTTAGATTTTTAAACATATTGTTTCKGACAAAATAAACAACAGATCTGAGGTGCTTTTTTCTGAAAGTATTTGCGCAAAACCAGAGACATGAATTCAGTCCAATTTCCGGGCACGTAAAAGGCTTGATGATTCATTGTATACTAATAATAATAATAAAAAAAACATGAGGGACTCTGCGGAGCTGTTGTGCTGCACCTCCAGGCATTTCTGATTCCCAATAAAGATCCAGGCACCGTCACGGCGACTCCGAGGGCGCAGGAGATGCGTCCACGATCACTGCTGAGGGCTTTTCTTTCCTCTGAGGAGTCGTGAAAACAGCTCCTGTTGACGCTAAACGGATCTGTGAGTGACTTCCCCGCATGTGAAGAGGCATGAAAGAGACGAGCAGCGCGGATCAGACAATCAACAGCAGACAGAGGCTGCCAGGAGGAGGCTTCGGTCAGCTGGGATCTGATTTGATTTGGAACTTTATTGGACACCCGGCTCTTCTAAATTCATTCTGAATTTGTGGTTTAGTTGTGAGTGAGACAGAGAGACCACTTGTGCCGCCGCCTCAACTGTGCCAAGAGACAGGGAGTCTTTGAAAGGCACCGGAGCGGACCCGAGCAGCATATAAATCAGCGTCCCGGAGAGCGTCTCTCTGCTTGGCACAGAGRAAGGAAAGACACCGCCGCGAAGAACCGAGAGGGGAAATGGGACTTTTTCTGTTTGTGGAGAGCAGGACAGCAACAGTGAGCGGAGGGCGAATGTAAAAAAATCTCAGTTGTGCTCGTGTTGCCACGGGCGCGCACCGGCGAGGAGGCGCAGGACACGCAGCTTCCATCGATTCGCGCTTCGTGATTTTCTTTCAACGCTGCGTTTGTATCGAGACCGAATCTGTGGACCTTGGGCTTAAAGAGGCGCCTCTCCTGAACGGAACCCCTCAAACTGCGAAGCCATGAGCCCCGGGGTGGTGTTTCTGCTCGTTTGTTCTGCGGCATTTTTCGCGGGGCGACACTGCGCCTCACCGAGGAGCGCGGCGGGGATGGAGCCGCCGAACCCCGGCTCTAACAGCGTCAACAGCGGCGGCAGCTCCGGGGAAAGCGGGTCCAAACGGGACTCGAACCAGACCATCATGTCCAGAAACAAGAGGAAAACCCTGGCCGTAGATTTCGCGGTGCCCTCACTGCTGAGATATTATCTGGCCGAGTTCATAAAGAGACCCCTGAACGGAGACTGTCAGACTTTTAGCGGATGTTACACGGTGCAGGCAAACTTGAAAATGCATTGCATACCTTTGCAGAAAACCATTTCTACTTTTGTGGAGCCGAAATCCTCCACAGACCCGAGAAACGGGTCTGCTGAGGGACAGCTCCCGTTCTTCTACAAGCGGCCGCTGTCCAAAGTTCTGAACCTGGGCTTAACGAAGGCGAGCAGGAAATCAAACCAAGTTGTGGTGGAAATAGGAGAGGATTTAGTCAAGACCGGATGCGGGGGGTTAACTGTGTACGAGGAGGACCCCGTGCTCGTGCTGGAAATGGACCTCACGACCATTCTGGAGTGGTGGCTCGGAGCGGAGGGTGGCCGGCTCAGGGTCCGGCTCATGCCCGAGAAGAGGGCGCAGGTGCCCGGGATTGAGGACCGTTACACCGCGGCTATACGCGCTGCGGACCCCCGCCTGTACCTCCACATATCATCCCGGGGTGAGTCCCTGTTGCAACTCCCATTYTCTTCCCACCTCCCCTCCTCACACCCACACATGTTTGCTCGCTCAAGGTTGTGATTTAAGTTCTGCTCTAATCAATTTTTCATGTTAAGCCCGGTGCGTAAAAAGCATGCGCGCTGCGCCACAACATGAGCAGGTATAAAAAATAAAAAATAAAAAAAGCCAGGGCAAGGAGGAACCCTAATGTTTGCAATGTTGGAGAGTTATGTGTGGGTGTTGTGTGGGTGGGCAGGCGTGTTTCTTGTGCGGGTCAGAGGATCATAACGCTCTCATGGATTTGGCGTWTGTTGGTTGGTTTGGCTCATTTTGCTCTGTTTCTTTGATCCGAACATGTCTTGGCAAACTCCTGTTTCATTACTGATGCATGCAACGGCTCAGACAAATGAACAGAATTTTGATTTAACGCCCAAACTTTGATTMTTTACATTTGCTTTCCCTGCTGAGTACATGCAGCCTCCTAAATGACTCCTCTGGAGAGAAGAGGCCTCGGTGTCTGACAATGAAATGCATGCAGCTTCCATTGTAAGGACTACGTTAACGGTTCGGAGGAAAATAGCAGAAACGTTTTCACCTTCACCGCCTTGTTCTTCTTCAACTCCCTGGTGTTGAAAGAGGTTTGGAAATTTTAAGAAAACCGGCTTTATTTTTGATTAGGCACAAATGAAGCTGTTATCTCTGAGAAAGCCTCAGCACTCATTTCTCGAGGGGCCCTTCCCTTGTTCTTCTGAGCATCGGCACAATCAGTGTAATTGCTTAATCACTTTGATGAGGGAGGCTGGCCCAGAAAAGAAAAAAAAAACTGCAACAAAATCCATCAGACAAAGGCAAAGTAGAGGCTAGCTGGACTGGAAGCTGCAACAGGAAGGGAAAAAAAGAGAGAGACAGAAAGAGAGACCCTGCAGGAGTGTGTTCACATTCAAACTCACACACAAACATGCACCCATGGATGCGACAAATCCTTATGCAGTTTTCATATCATTACACAATGTTTTCCTGCTATTTTAATGCTGAAATGCACAAACCCCAACACACATGTGATGCTGTTGCTGAGAAGCGTCTGAGTGGACGAGCTCAGCAGAGAATCCTAACACAGCTGGTTGTGTTAACAGCTGCGAGGACAGCATGAAACAATGTATGGGCAAATCAAAATGGAAACCTGCGATATAGTGTCAGTAAAGTGTGCTGCGGCAACAGCTTGTTGGCTCTGAAGGTGTAAGTACTATCTCAGCTGTATTGTGAGGACAGCAGTGAAACTTTCTGCTTTAAATGAAATAAAATCACAGTTATGAGCTCAGTTTGGAGGAGAGTTTTCCTCAGAATGTGATTCGCAGTTCTCATTTACCAACTGATTCCCCATTCACTCTGAAGTCCAGTCACTTAGTCCTGACAAACTGTGGCTAAATTTGGATTGTAGCAACTTCATTAAAACTTAATTCTCATTCCACACAAACAGCTGAAAATATGTCAGATACACAAATTGCATCTGTAAAACATGCAAAAATCCCCATCCTTGGTCTGAAAGGCTAAGGKTTTTTTTTTGCCAGTATTGCAGTTATTGCATCAAGGTATCAACAAACACCATTTAGATCAGTTACRCATTGAAAATGAGGCAATAGTGTGAAATTATTTTCAACTTTAATGTTTTTCTGGCAGATGAAAACAGTATTTAAAGGATTTKGACTACAGATTGTTAATGGTTTTATTGTGTAACGATGTGGATGTTCACCACATGGGGCAAGTCTTTCTTTTTGGTCATCTTAGCAGAATGGGAACGCTTAGTTGATTTTTTTACAATTTATAATTGTATATAACCTTTTCAGATCAAATGTAGATGGTTTTAGCCCAGATGTTGATGGACAATTTATATGCATGAATTTCATTTTAACCCTGCGTTATTATCCTATTTAATAAACTTCTCAACGGCCCCCTGATCTTCCTAATAAGACTTCCCTTTAGACCTTACTACACCCATAATAATGGAAATGATTAGGATAAAATAAATTTATGTTGATTTGCAAATGATTTTCCTGCTGCACAGTATTGGAATCAWTGTTATAGTTTTCAAGCATTTGTAATAGTTTCAGTAATTAGTTCCAGWTTTAGGARTAACTTGTCTWTGTATGGTTTCAAAAGATCATGATGGTAGATTCAAAGTGGAAAACTTACCATTGTTGTTATGCAATGTTTTATTTACATTTTCAACTCTGCACAGCTTAGGGTCATAAATCTAAATAGTTGAACTCATCTGCATGAKATCAGCAGCAAAACAGGGATAAATTCCACAGAAAGCAAAGGTTAACATAGTCGAAAAAGTTCCTYAAATATCAGATTTGAACAGTTTAARCTGCTTTTTRTCTCACATTTCAGTTAGATTCATTGARTGATKTTAGCCATGATAGAAATCATYCTGACAAAGTGAGTGTTCCCAAATKCTGCTGTATATCTGCCCAAACCAAACTAAAACACGAGAATAGTTGCCAAGTGATATTTTATCCTACAAAGATAAAATAGGCTGTGTCACRTCCCAGCATGGCTCCACCCTGCACAGCCATGACTATTAGCAGGTGGGAAAACTTCAGTGAATTATGACACTTTTCTCAGCAGGAGGCTCGGTTGGAAGGTTTTTAGAGCAACATTTTATTTTTGAAACGGCAGCGATGCATTTACACTGCAAGTTTGTGTTCATCTTCTTGAAACTTAAAACACATTTGCAGTCAGTTCAGTTGTTTCTTTTGCAGTGGTCATCATCAAAATCTGTTAGACGCAGGAAAAAAGACTAAAAAAAACCCACAAAACTGGTTCACTGAATAAGAAAAATGAGAAAAATAAGTCAGGTGATTTGTTTTAAATAAAAATGTTTATTTAAATACTGTGTTGAAAATTTAAGGTCATAAATTCCTTTTTGTGTTTCTGTAACTCTGAACTAGATAGATAGATAGATAGATAGATAGATAGATAGATAGATAGATAGATAGATAGATAGATAGATAGATAGATAGATAGATAGAT